AAAAAATCTGTGTGAACCTAATGCTGTGAAAATCCAAAACAGCAGTATCGTGTTTCTGCTGTGAAAAAAGATGAGGGACAAATAACTTGTAATATAACCATTTCAAATTTATTCTTAACAGAAAATGAATAGTCAATATATACGTCACGAAGTGCGAGGATGTGAAACTAGCAACCTGAGAAACTTCTGGGAAAAGACAATTGAACAACAAACTCGGTATCTGCAAGTTGAAAGAGAACGTCAGCAAAGAAGTGCTCTGACAAAGTTAGTAGTTTGTATTTTGAGAGGTTATTTGAGTTTGCACTGTTATTCTTTTTAAAAGAAAAGTTATGCCTATATTACGTCACACAGTGAAAGTTGAAAGTAATGTTTACTTTCTTATATCTTTAGAAAATAAAGAAGTTTCACAAATTGGCCTACTAATACTAATTAGTATTAGTTATCGCTTCACAGGATGAGAGAATAATTTACTTATTCAAAAATTGGGTCCAAAGTGCGGACATTCCTGAAGTTATTAGGACAAACTCTAGCAGTACAGACTTGCCTTGAATATCAAGGTTCACATCAGAACTAACACTTATCTGTACTTGATTCACCCTCTTTCTCTATGGCTTTGTTTTCACAAGAGTACGTGTTCAATTAATTTGTGTGAGTTAATCTGAACAAAGTCCATAATAAAGCAGATGATCTAAATAGTCTAACTGATTAAAGCAACCATCTGTAGCTATTTTTACCTCAGTAAGTCACATTTACCTTACTCAGCTAAATAATGTAAAAGTAGTCTGCTGCACCATCAATACTGTTTTACTTCACATGAAGTGCCCGGGAGTTGAAGGCACATACACAGATGGGTATTCTGGCTATGAAATGTTCAAAAAGAAAGCATTTGTTCCAAATTTCCCTCCTACATTCCTTTGAGTTAATGTTTAAGCAAGTAAGTATAAGATGACATTGCATGAATAACCTTCCATGAAACAACACTGGAATCAATCTCCAGTACATTTTACCCATTTTTTAAATAACCTAATTTCAATGTTTCAGATCCTCAACTGTGAAACTTCTGTTTTCTTTTTGAGGCAGTCTTTCTGTAGTATCTAGACTCTACCAAAGAGAAAACAAACTTCCATTTGTCATCTGACAGGCAGTTAGTGTTCCTGTTATAGACCTAAGAGGAGTTTCAACACTCATAGCTCCTCCAAGCTAAATGGTGCACAAAAGCCTCTCTACAAAGTACTTTTTCTGAAGTAATTTCTGAGGACTAGGGAAACAATGGGTGTTGCTACCCAGCAGGTGGCAGTAAGCAATCTCCAGTGGAGGTGACAAGTCGCTTTGGCAGAAAGACACTTAAGAAAGGATGAAAAAAAGATGAAAATAAACCACAATGATCAAATGAGGTGGTAGTGGGATCTGAGATCCAATCCTGAACTTCTATCCAGCAACACAATCTAAATGGGCAGATCAGTTTGCATAATAATCAGCAGAAGTGCTGAAGAGGAAAAAAAAAAAAAAAAAGTCAGTTCCTAGTAAAAATCTAGGGATAAGCTAACCAGTGTTTCTGTCCTTAGGCTCAGAAACGAATGGATGGAGAGGCTCGAAAAACGGATAAAGATGTTGAGGACCCAACCTGAAGACGCATCTATTTGAAGATCTCAAACTCACTGCTTGTATAGGAAGAGACTGTTTTGTGGGAGAGTATGACAGCGGGATTCAAAAACTCAAGTGGATTTTACTCTGTGGCTTAAGCGAGCTATAAATAATTACCAGTCATTGTCAGAAGTTTCACATGTGAATTGCTGCTTTTAATGTTATGTATCCATCCCCTCATTTGATAAACAGACTGAAACACTCTGAAGTGTTCAAAACAAATAAGTTCACTGAGCTGCAGATGCACGGGAAAGAAATCAGCATTTTGCTACACTGTGCTCAGCAAAAATACTTCCAGGATAGTATGATTTTCTCTCTGAACTAAACTGATAGCAATTTTTTCCCCCCCAAAAATATTTAATGAATAGTTAAGTGATTATTTTTTTGTTTTGTTTTTAAATACAGCTTTGTTTGGCTTTTTTTTTTTTTTTTTTTTTTTTTTTATAAATACAGCAGAGCCCTACTCAGACTAAGAAAGTGAGGACACGTATGAACATATATTTACTTCCTAGATCACAAGTACTGCCAAACCTGACAGCCATTATAGATCCTATTTGCCATATATTAAATATTTGTAAAGCCACTAATACATAGTCTGAGAAACAGGCTTTGTGACATACTGAAAAGAACTGCTTTACTTGTTAAGCCAAATTTTAGCTAAATTGAGAGGCAAAATGTCTCAGAGATTTGAAGCTGTTTCTGGTACTCAAACCAAGTTGCCTAGAGCTGAACTGATACATGTTACACAGACAACCTGATGCATCTTCACATCTGCCTGACACACTTGAGTGGAGAGCATACTCTTCTCTCTAACCTGATGAAACCTAATATGTACTCCTTTACAACCAGTACCTTCACAAAAGCAGCAAATTTCTTTTCCCATATTTCCCATTCATCAGAGCAGTTTCTAGTTCCCTTTCTAATGCTTAATAAGGATGTGATGTCTCTTTCAACAGTATCAAAGCATATCAACAGGCAGCATAATAAAATCATTTCCTTCTTAGGATGACTTCTTTGTTGCCACCACAGTGTATGGGGTAATACATGGCAAAATGGGCTGTTCTGAGTACTCTAAAAGTTTTTCTCAATCGCTAAACTTTTCAGTTCCTTTCATATGAGCATTTCACTAGTTCTATGGTAATTCTTTTTGTTTCATAGTAAATAGTTGAATTACTGAGAGACAAGAAGGGAACTGAGGAAACGTTTGGTGTTTAAAATTCAGAACATCTGTTTTTGTTTTTGTTTTTTTAAAGAAAAACAAAAAATTCAAGTGCTATTTGTTCTGTCTTCATATACTACCTTTTAATTTCACTTCTTCGTGTCCCTAGGAAAGATCAGACATATTATGAGAATTAAAGCATTAAAATAATTCCCAACAAATTATTTTTTGGAGACCTGTGAAATCCATTAAACATGGAATAAGGATGCCCTTGAAATATATGTTTGGAAATCAAGACATTAGTAGGTTTGTCATTAAACTTGAGAGAAGTTTGCCTGACAGATGAAAAAGCTGCTGAACTCATGTTCTTCACCAGAATCTCCTTCTTAAGCAGTATTTAAAGCAACATCAATTGAGAATATACATTCTCATTCTATCCAGAAGATAGTAGTATAATTGCAGTATAGCTGTGTTTTAACAAACAACCCCTACGCAGACACATAGTTTAATATTAAATTTTAGTAAAAATTTTCTTTAAAAGTGTCAGTTTTAACACTTCGGTTCTCCAGTTATCTGTCTGTGCTTCATGTTTACTGAATTCCATCATGCAGAATTGCTTTTACAAAAATTTGAATGAAATCGGAATTTGAACTGAGGTAAAAGTAAAATTTTCTGCCCCCTTGAGAGTTGTGTAAGTGACAGCACAAAGTGCAAAACAGGAAAAAATCACAGTTTAGATAATTTAAAAATGAAGAAATCTCTCCTGTAATAAGCTTTCCTTTTCATCTCACGTGATTCTTCTCAGCTAGTAAGTCAAAATGAAGAAAATCCATCAGAAGCCAGAAAAACAAATGCCAGGAAAAAATGATTTTAAAGTATGGTATGCCCCACTCTCTGCCCTGTTTTCCTTCATTGTACATTTTGTATGGTTATGTCACACAAGGATGCGTAAGGAATATGTCAAGATAAAATATAACAAAATCATCTCCTAAATGGATAATGGATAACAAGGAACTCATTTTATCCAGAATGCTTCTTTTCCAGCTGAAAGTCAGAAGGAGTTCTAAGAACACATTTCCAAAATTAAATCACTTCTGTTCTGAGTTTTGCAATTTCATCTTTAATGCTTAGATGAATTATTTCATGTTCCACAGTACTAGATTCAGAATACAGGGCCACGTAATTTTTATCTAGGTGCCAGTAATACATTTAAATAAAGCCTTGATCACTTTTGCGGTGATCATCTATTTAAGAGGTCTATAAATTACTATCAACAAAGGAACACATAACCAGAGAAATAAATACAATCTAGAATTAATCAGCAAAATAAAGAAGTGCAATAACATTAAAATTCAAGTCTAAACATGAAGAAACAGTTTGTACCAGGAATTGGAGTAAAGTATATGATTAGAATGGCTCCAGAGATTTGAAAACTCAAAAAAAATAAATTTACAGCTTACTCTGAATGTTGTAAAATAAATTAAAAGGAGTAAAAAACCCATAAACCACAATTTCAGCAAGACTCAGAAAATGAGCCATAATGCTACAAAAATGATATAAAAAGGTATGCAGAAACCTGACCACAGCACTAGAAAAGTCATCAGATAAAAACTGATAAGATCATCTGAGATTAGTAAAACCATTATGGTTACAGAGAATGCTTACTCTTCAGTCAGTTCTTCACTGGTACACAGTTTCAAAGGAGTGCAATATTTAGTTAATCACATTAAACAATATTTCATATTCATAACACAGATACTTGAAGAAACACTTCATTTGTCTTGATTTTATTCTATCCATATTTTCACCTTTTTGAATATAACAGCTAGAGACTGAGTTACGCCCATCTGCTTTTAATAGATTTGTAATTAAAATGTGGTAGATACTTGCTTATCATCTTAGCTTTCATTATTTAACCCTTCCTTTGCTTCATCCTGACACTGACTAGCAAGAACATGCATGCCACTTTCTCATTTTAAATATATGGTACCTTACTGTTGGAAAAAACTTTTAAACTCTTACAGTAATCAAATGTTTTATCATCCTTTGAAATAAACTCTCAATAACTTGAATCCATCTTACATACTATTTATGAGAAGTATTCTGCATGCTAGCACAAAACTGAAAGCCCGTTTTATCTGCATTAATGGCTTTTCTAGTATACAGATAAGGAGTGAGAACTGCGAGGAATGATTGTCAGTAACTTAACAGTCCTCCCAGCAGTTGAGCCCAAACTGATGCAGCTTAAATACAATTCTTTAGTCAATAGTCCTTCCTGAAGCTCCTCTCTGGAGCTTTCTAATTAAGAGGGAAATATTTTTGACCAGGCTCTGAATAAGTGGTGCTGGTCAAGGAAAAGGCAGGATGACTTTATAGTAAGATGGTGACATCAAATTAGAGACATGGTTCCACTGTGCCTGGGGGAAGCTATCCAGCCCTGTTACAGAAGAATTTCTGCAGCCCAGGGCAAAAGCATCCAGCAAACCATGCATAGCATGACAACCAAGGTCACACATTACCCCTTGTGCAATCACATCTTCTTCATGCAACCATGCCTGCTTAGTCTTTTGGTAACATTCACCAAAAAGGAGATTGATCTGCTGGTCAATTGTGAAGCATTTAATGCTTTCAGCACTGAAATAAATCCACCGTACAATAATAACAAGGTTATATATACTGTACTCTGTGTTTACTGTAGCATAAAATCATAGAACCACCAAGGTTGGAAAAGGTCTCCAAGATCATTCAGTCCAACCATCCTCCTGTCACCAATAGTTCTCGCTAAACCACATCCCTCAACACAACATCTAAATGTTCCTTGAACACCTCCAGGGTCAGTGACTCCACCACCTCCCTGGGCAGCCCATTTCAATGCCTGACCATTCTTCCAGAAAGGTAGTATTTCCTAATGCCCAGCCAGAATTTCCCCTGGCATAACTTGAGTTCATTTCCTCCAGTCCTATCACTAGTTAAACAAGAGAAGTTGACACCAGCTCACTACATCCTTCCTTCAGGTAGTTATAGAGAGCAATAAGGTCTCTCCTGAGCTCCCACTTCTTCAAACTGAAGAATCCCAGCTCCCCCAGCCAGTCCTCATAAGGCCTGTGCTCCAGACCTCTCACCAGCTTAGTTGCCCTTCTCTGGACACTCTCCAGGGCCTTGACACCTTTCTTGCAGTAAGGAACCAGAAGAGAAGAAATTAACAAGAATTCCCTCAGTAACAAGTAGTGTTTAGTACAAATAAATTATTTATTGTATTCTTGAAAAGTCTATAAGCGGTCTCCATGATTTACATAACTTGATACACAAGCAACATGAGAAATATGTTGCCTCGTGCACTATGTGAGAGCTCCCTGCGAACTGTGTAACTATGATTACCTATCAAGCAGCTCGTACTCGTATGATGCGGTCTTGAAGAATGCTCTCTTTATTGAGCAACACATCCCTTTATATATCATTGCTTAGCACTATAGGACCACCTATACAAGGTAGATCCTCCTGTCAGTTTACAGCACTTACTACCTCATTGTTTGATTTCGCAATCGCTCTCTACTACAATTTCACAATCAATCTCTACTACAGAAATAATACCTGACACACAGAGATCACCACATAAACAGGACAGAAATTGTGGAGGTGAGTGGAAGGATGAGCCAAGTCAGGGGAAAGCTGTGCTCCCTGTGTTTGTTGCCATTGTTGGCAACGGATCTACACACTGGATAATGAGGTCCGCTTGCTCAGTAACCAGCCCTTCAGATGAAGCTGAAATCAACAGATTGTTTCCTCTAATGTAAAGTTCTTATTAATAGAAACATCCTGAACTCAACCCATGAAGTTGCTA